TACTCAGGAGTTTCACTGTGGCCAGCATTATAAGAAAGTAAATTATACATGTATGGATTTTTATAATGCTAATTTACTTCAAGCATTTCTTTTTGTTTTATTAAAATATATATGCTTTGTTTGAAGACACTGCTGAGGAAAAGCCCTGTGATAATATTGCAGGCCAGGGTAAAGTGTACTATAGCAGGGAGTCCGCATCTCCTGTCATATTGATTACCTATCAGCTAAGACAGGATGAAGGGGGTTGTGATTGTTGCTTATAATACCTTTAGAAAGAGTTGTTCCCACCTTTTCTTACCCTGATCACCTGTTTAGAGAGCTGCTGCCAGGATGCTAATGATGCTGAAGAACTGGAAGAGGTTTTCCAAGATGCATCATTTCTAGTTACAGTATCCTTAGAAATGGGGAAAAAGATATACACATCTCAACAATCTCAATGGCTAACTGCCTTGGGATTCGCATGTAATCACGATATACCTATATGGTATACGATATATATATTGTATGTATGTAACTGCTATCATAAGGCTCCTAGATCATGTTGCTTTCCAGCATATTTCTATCCATATCACTTCATCACCAACAGCTTTTTTGTTGGTATGCAACATGTCTGTAGTCTGTATTCCCCTATTTGTTCATTAAATACATAGCCTATGGATTTAAACCTAAGGGCCATTATTTACGCTAAATATAGGTATGTAGTGAAGGAAAGAATTACATCTCATCGCTCCATAAAATGATGTTGTTTTGTCTCTCAGAGTGACACTGAGAGAATACGCTAAAAACAGGCCCAAACTGGTCTGCTCTCTCAGTTTGCATTTCTTAATAAGGCACCATCTGCATTTACAAGAAATAAAGCTTTTTTTTTAGCTGCACATAAAGCTACGTAGCTAAGACTACCTTGGCAGCTATTTGTAGATATCAGGTTGAACATAGCTGAAGAAGATGGATGGTTGTGCAGATTTTTCTGCTCTGGTGGTGCGAAAACTGATCATTAAAATCAATTTCCATGTTCAATTGGTACTGAACGACTGTAGCTTTAATAGTAAGATGTGCTTTTAGCCATCCTGGTACGGTGGCTCATTAGACAGTGTTTGTTGGTCCATCATTTTTGCCTGAGATCACAATTATCAGATGAATACCCTGTTGCCTTAGATGTGTTCTAAGAATTTTAATCCTTATTCCAGGCTGTGAAGTTTAGCAGTATAATCGGGCATGAAATAATACATAATGGTTTGAGACAGTCTTTCACCTTCAGCTATACCTTGTTTCCTGTTATCTACCAATAGCTAGCATGCTAGCAAACCAGAGACTGTACATCCAATTTGGACTGGATTTTAACATTCAGATTTTGGAGAACTGAAATGGCACATGTAGTTTATTAGTGTCAGCTAACATGTTAATACTAGCGATTCACTAACAAAACTGAAGGACAAACGTGTTGGACTTTAATTTCAATAAAAATGCTTTAAAAAGCACCAACACTACAAACATTGTTGAGAGGTACAGTTAAATAGCCTACACCTGTTAGGCTGTAGCTTTTTAATGCTGTGAAGTTTAGCATTTTAGAATGGGAATATATTGGGACGTGTCTGTCAGGCAAAGCATTTTTCCTACTTAACATCAACATGTTAGCGTCCATTAGCATCCATTACATTTAGAGACATCTTTGTCGCTAAATGTATATACAGTGCACTCATGTTTGAATATGCATAGCCGGTTATTATTTTTGCTCGTAATTCTCACACTTTAAAATCTTTAATTATTTTCAGACATATGGGTATATAAACAGACAGAGGGATAGATGTATGAACTCCGCTCAGTCTCTGCAGTAGCTGATTACAGAAGTCTGACCATTCTGGTCTCTGCATTGCAGTTAATTAAGGCTTTGTGTATGGCTGCGGATGCCCATTATAATGAAAGGCTGGCTGTCAGCCCCTCGTCCCAACACACAAACACGCACATACACACCCCAATCCATTTAGCCCCTCTAACGCCACCACCCCAACCTACAGCCACCCCTATCCAGCTGCTTCCATCGTCAAGCCACTGCCCATTAAATGCCCATCACCTTAAAATTCCTGTGGAGAGAGGCAAAACACATCCATACACATTGAAATTGGTGAAACAGAGCCTCATCGATGTGTAACCCATGTGTGCTGTGCTGCTGCCTAATACACACAAGCACACACACAGAGGGAGAGGTGTATGTAAATAAATGTTGAGGAAATAGACACTACTTGAAAAGGCCAACTATCACACACATAAAGGTCATTTCACTGACACATTTCATAAGTTATTATATACATGCACACACACCCTCTTCTCTGCAGCAGCGCCACAGCCAGCTCTGTCATATTAAGCACCGTGATTGCATGTCATTGCAGAGGCTTCTCTTTCTATCTTTCCTCGCCTCCACCCCGCCCCACTTACGCCTGCCGCCAAAATTGGTTCTAAAACCACATGTCACTTTTGATTTGACCCGGCAGACCCTGAAACAATAACTTCATCAGGCCTTGTTAGAGTCTCATCCTGAGCAGACAGCTACGAAAACAAACACTGATTTCCCTTCATCTAGTCTAGAGGGCACCTTTCTTCTTGGCTTTCTTTGTCTCATATGGGATGAGCACATAAATGGCCACAGTACTCTCATGTGCTCGAGGCTTTTTTTTTTCTTTCACAAAGAGAGGCATTAAATAGGTCACCCAACGGATGCTTGGACATTTTAAGAAATATGTATGATACATGAATGCATGTGCAGTGACTCTAGGAGGTATTACTAATCCTCCTTACTCTACATCATAATCATAAGCCGCTTGTCAATATAGCTTACTTATGACTGTGTCACTGGCTCAGAGTGTAACTCTGCCACCATTACACTTAGCTCCTGCGGAGTAAATTGTCCTATCTGAACAGACCATCTTGTGACTTGGAGTTTCACACCACACACAATAGAAAAACACCATGTCTTCAACTTGTCCACACTCTATGACCCTTTCAGTCCAAGTGAAGATGTTTACAATGGAGACCTTCTGGGCTGATTTGTGAACGTGTGCGGGGTGGGGTTAATTAAGGGGGCTAAAATTTTAGTGCAAGCGTGTGTGTGTGTGTGTGTGTGTGTGTGTTTAAAGTGAATCTTTGTGTATACACGTGCATGTATTTTCTCCTGTATTTTCCCGGCTGATGTTCGTAGTTTAACAGTCTGTTCATCCTTTCCTGTTCTATTTATTGCAGCATCACTCCCACACTAAACATGCTAAGTAATGATATAATAGAATAAGAGTCAGATATTATGTCAACAGCGCATATGCCAGACATTAAGTCTCATTATTATAGAGTTAGGGGACAGGAGCCTAGTCCCTTGTGGGACCTTGGTGGGTCTAATGATCTGATAATAGGCTGACATGTGTAATGGCCCTCATCGAGGAAACAGATTTATGTCTTCAGCACTTCTGTAGAGTCACACGTAGATTAAACATGCAGTTTTACATTTACGTACCAACGCAAGCATTCATTGACATAATTTCTCTGATATTCCCGCACACCTGAATCTTATAAACAGGTCAACACACCCATATAGATGAAGAGTAAATTATAATTATAGTGGTGAAGAACCCTCTCAGCTCTCCTAATTGAAAGCAAATGGGACCTGGGCCTGTCCCCAGCGTCTGATGAGAAGAAAGTTGTCACCAGCCTACAGTCTGATTGAAACCATGAAACAAGCATTCAGAAGGTTATTCAGAGCATTTGTTATTTAATTGAATCACATGCAGGGAAGTCACTGTGAGCACATTACTTGAGCAGGAGTGCCAGCAGAAGCGCTGAGGAGTAATCGCCCATACCTGCACAAGACGTAATAAATATGCGTACATGCACACGTACACACGCAACCACATTCATAAACACACTCCCTTCAGGCCCAAGATTCGTAGCCCACCATGTCTACTGAGTCAATATTTCACTCCCAAATGCACACATTAGCGCAGTATCCCTTTCACGAACAAACACACTCTCTCTTTCCTTGCAGGGATTGATTAATCCATAAAAAACCTCTTTAGCTTCTCCCATCCTTCTCCTCTGAGTAATTACCTCATAAGGACTGTTTTTAACCCACATCCTTCCAACAGTTTTCCTCTAACCTGAATATTCCCCGATGTCCATGTGAGTCTCACTAGGGGTCAAAGATTGCGTCAGTCTGAGTGTTGGGGACAAGCAGGCACAGTAGGGATGCATGCCTGTCGGAGGGGGAGGAGGGGAGGAGATGAATAAGATAAAATCTAAATGGATGTCAGTTGGAGAAAATACAGGGAGAAAAATTATACCTTTCAGACTGCCCCCACTCTGCCCCTACACCACAAGACCTGGTGACACATTAGTATTGGACCCTGGTTAAACGGTTGACTTTGTCCTCTCTTCATCCATCTATCCATCCAGATGAATGGTAATGACCACAGAGAGGAACAGCCCCTGCTGAATTAAACATTTTCTTCCAATGAGAATCTCATTTTCCTCCTTTAGATGGCAAAGCAGGGTGATGGTTTTTCCTCTGGCAGAGATACTTTATCATTGTGCAGCTCATGTGCATTGGAGGTCAATGACATAGACCCAGCATTGTTCTAATATATTCCATCTCAGGGCAAATGAGATGCATTTTGCTGTGAACCTTCAGTCTCAGGGTCAATCCGCGACTGCTCCTGCAATCTATTTGACTGCCAGATTCAGGGTGCTTTTCTGGGAATGTGCCACGTGACTAGCTCCATAATGACTGCAACTGCAGCAAGCCAGGGTCCAATCTCCCTAAAGTGTTACCCAGGAAATCCCTTGTGATTGAAACACTCCCCCTATCTCCTTCACCGTGTTTCATGTTGAAGCTCACCTGAAGATCATGACCTGATTTGTATTCTTTGCCCCTTTCTTTCCTTCCCCTCTTTCATGACCTCTCTTCTTTCCGCTTCTCTCTCCTCCTTCTTCCCTCCGTCTTGTCATCTGTCGCATATTAGGTCGCCAGCTGACCATCTTCAACAGCCAAGCGTTCATCAAAATCGGTGGTGGAGAGAAAGGGCGCCACTTCCAGGGCCAGATCTCAGGCCTGTACTACAACGGCCTGCAGGTCCTCAAACTAGCAGCCGAGGGCGACCCCAACGTCCAGACCCAGGGCAACCTGAGGCTGGTGGGTGACGTGCCCTCGGTGCTGACTACCGACACCACCTCCACCACCCCGCTGGCTGATATGTCCACCACAATCATGGAGACAACCACCACCATGGCCACAACCACCACCCGCAAACAGCGCTCGCCAACCATGAGGGACAGTGTGACACAGGTGAGCAAAGTGAGCTAGTGATGCCAGCTTGTTTATATGATTCATAGAGAAAAATCAAAAGGCTGCTGTTTGAGTCACCGAGGCAAGAAGATGCTCTGGTGCTGTGCATTGTGATGGCCCATTGCCAGTTAGTTTTAATTGGCTTTTTAAAGTTTCCCCAAAATCCTCAAACTGCTGAAAACAATATTTGAAAGATTAAACAGCATGGCCAAGTAACCAGATGGTTCTTCTTACATGAAGAGATTTCAAAAGAAATCAGATGTCAGCTACAAGGTCAAACAGTCACATACTCAGCTCTGTGCTGTGTGCAAGTTTCCCTTTGTTAGCCATCAGCTGTATTCAGATGGTCAAACAGCCCTCAGCTGTTTGATCCATCCATTAGACCAATCAACACTGCGGTTTTGATTTTCTTTAAGAATATGTGGCTGACCGGGATCCTAGAAATCACTGCTCATCCAGAGGCTGGTCGAAGGCAGGACCATCTCGAGAAGGAAATCTTGCTACACAAAGAGCACAACAATAAACTTCCATTTACGAGTCTACATCGTGCGCATGTGAGAGGCTGTGATTTATGCTCTGATGATTATCCACATGGGCTAAAGGCACATATTACCAGCACGGAAAGCAACAATTAGCAAACAGTAGGGGACCTTTTCCTTGCCCACATGCAAGAAGATGGAAGAGGCGGGCCATCATAAAAAGACCTAATAACAAGATCCAGGAGGGGAATACGCTCCAGTTCACATCCAGCATCATTAGCTATAAACTGTGTGCTGTGCAAAAAAAAAAGTGTGATCCAGGCCATGAGAGGAAGCGCTGAAAGCTTGTCGCCCATGCTCGTGGATGTACTGTACGTCAGCTATATTTGGCGCTGTAAAGATTTTGTACCTTAATTAGTTGAAAGCTTTAAAACCTGTCAATTCCATACTTTCAATTTCAGCTCTATGGCATACTTTTATGGTGTCGCGGAAAACACAAAAGCGCGGTGCCAATTACTAGTGCTTTCCTCTTATTCAGTTGTGTTCATTAGCACTCTTCATGTCCACAGAGGCATATCTGAGATCAGTCAGCGAGCCACTCACACTCTTCCCTGAAAACCATGATCAGCAGATCCAGAATGTGTTTAGATCTTCGTCTTTGTCCTTTTATCATCGTCTCAAACCTTCCTATTGTGCCTCATTTTGGGTAAATGTGGCAGTTCCAATTAGACTAAAGATAAGGTGAAGCTGTTGGCACCGCTGCACAATAGATGCAAAGTTATACTGCGAGCACCCAGATTAAAGAAAACTTTTAGTTTTGCAGCAACTGTTTTTCTTTCTTTCTTGTACATTGATAAAAGTCAGCCTTAATGAGGCCTCCACAGGCTCATCAAACTAATACTTTGATGGCAGTTGACAAAATATGAAGGTGCGCTTGTCTCAGTCATGGTTATCGGTGCCACGGAAGTACAAACAAAAAGTTTTGGACCTAAAACCTGTCAGAGCTCCTTCGCAGTCAACAGCATCTTGATTGTGCCCAGTTGGCACAATCAGCTGGTCTGTGATTTAGTGTTTCTCTCTCTTCTCTTTAAACATGAGATCAGTGGAACATGGATTTAAGATGCCGCATGTACGATGCACTCGGTTCAGTGTCTCTGGCCTCCAGACTTCTTGGCGAAACCTGCTCTCCACGTTGAGCGTATAGCGAGCTTTAAAAGCATCTGTCTGTGATGTGAAATTGGCAGCCCCAGACTGCCCCGCTTGATAAATTATCCGGAAGCATTTTAGGATAGCAGAGGACTCTTGAGTGTTGTCTGCCTTTTGGTTGTTACAAGCCTTAATGTGTATTCCATTTGCTGACTTATGTTTATGTCGGGTCATAAAAAAGCACGGTTCCACCTTTAGAGTGCTTTTTATTGCTAAGACTCTATTTTTTAGATAGTGTACACACATTTTAATGGCTCCATCTTTATGATTATTATGCACCTAGCTCAACCAAGTGTATTGCCACAATAGACAAAAATAGCATTAAGGATATATGCTGGCGAATCAAAAGATGTTACCTATGAATCACTATGCATGTACTTTAATGATCAAACAGGCATTTTTCTGTGTGTAGAAAAGCCTAAAAACATTAGCGCTGATCATTCAGGTGGTCCCAGGTGTGGTGCCTCCTCTGTCCCCCAACCTAAAGGAAAGACAGAATAAAGCAACAAAAGAATAACTGTGAACACAGCTGTAGTCTAGCAAAATTAGGCAAAACCTCTTGAAGGGTGGAGGATTACATTGATTTTTACAACAGCTGAGAGGCACCAGACTGTATGAAATCATTTATATTTGCTCTTTTAAACACCAGGCTCTGTCCTGGGAACGTGCCTGTGGTGAACTGGAAGTGTTGTTTGTTTTCATATTTGTGGCAGGAACAGCAGTTGGGGGGGAAATGGAAGAAAACAGTGTATTTAGTGCGAGCAGCGGTGTGTATCGAAGCTGAACAGACAAGACGGAGCAAAAACCCATACACGACTCAAACTCAATCAGAATCACAGACTATCACTGTGCCTGGCGAAAATTTGGGATACGTGAGTCACAGTCTTACAGGGTATATGAAGACAGGCGTAGCCAATGTGACATTATCCATTGGTTTGTGAAGCTCTATTTTTGAAGGTCTAATTCGAAGGGGGAGGATCTGACTTAGAGCCCGTGTGCTTTAATGGTACCAACTTGTCAGTCCCAATGTACGCCCACCCAACCCTGCTTTACCATCCTTCCTGACACTGATTCAGAAAATAATTTACAAAATAAACATCACATTGTGTTCGATAAGACTCGACACTTTAGATCATAAACTCGAGACTTTATTTTGCAGCCAGTTAAACCTTCAGTCCAAAGCATAGACAGCTGTATTAGAAAAGTAGCTGGTTCTTTGGTGAAACAGAAAGTAAATGACAAGGTCCATACAGCAGGAAACATTGAATGATGCCACTTAAGAGTCTGTTATGTGCAGCATTAATAGCAGTTGAAAACTAAAAATCAGATAATTAAGAAAACCAACTTTTCTGGAAGAAGTTTAGATGAATTCACAAATCTTTAGGTTTTTGTTTCTGGATTTTATTGACTAATCATTTTGAATTATATGGTGCTGTAAATCATCCAGGAGGTGATGGTAGCTTGGTTTACTTCAGCGATTTGCTTGTTTTTGTCAAAATAAAAACTTTTTTCCACCTAAAAAGAAAAGAATGCAAAAAGAGAAGGTCCTCATGGAACTACATGATTCCAGATACTCCCTGCCTGTTCAGTGGCCATGTCTGGTTCACCCTATTTGAAACAGAAGAAGTGTAAGTATACAACAGTTTTATGGACTGTGCCTCATCCTTTAAACCCCAAATGTTTGTATCTACAGTAAACATTTTCTGTCAGTTAACAAAAGCTTTCATTTTTATAATTACAGTACAGTCAGAGTTCGCAGAACTTTCTGTAACTTTACACATTTATTTTTTCATAATTCAAGCCCAAAGAGTTGTGCTGATAGATTTCTTCCATTGCATTTCTTTTTCTTATATTGAAATATCTCAGTGAATAAATGTGCACTTAAACTTCTGTACGTCAGCATAAATGGAAGTTTCGCCAGTCCAGCCGCTTAAGATCGAAGTGAGCTGTATGTGGCTCATGATGTCAAATGACTTTAACATCCTTGCTCTAGATCCGTCACAGTCATGTGGTCCGAATAGGAATTGTTGCCTCGTTGTTTTTCCTGTTCTTCAGATGGATAAAAAAACAAACATGGCAATGGCATATTAATGCAGGAGTGGCAGAATCTAACTATATATGAGCAGAAACTTAAATTTCAATTTCTCCAAAAGCTCTGAGCTACCCGCCGCGCTGTAGCTTTGATCATAGTGGAATAATGTGCTTTGATGCTTAGAATAAAAGATCTACCTTTTGATGTGCATGCGGGGGTCTGATTTATTCTGCTTTTTTACCCCTTGATACTGTGGGTTTCCATGAAACAGTTGGAAGTCATCACTTGTCTCGATCTGACCCAAATTTGGTGTCAGGATGTTATAAAACTAAGATCACAAGCCTCGCCCTTGCTGCTGTCTTAAGCTGAGAGCATCCCAGGTGTTTGCCATCTCTCTCTGATTTGTCTGGATGGATAGAAGATGGTTCAAAGTCCTTGTGGATGCTGCTTGGAGATAGTCAGCGGGGCTGTTTTGGATGTTCCAGGGGGGTCAGGTAAATTGGGGTTTAAAAGTGTGTCACAGATGTTGCACGAAATTACAGCCATCATAACTCCAGGAGGCTGAAAAAAACCTTTTGAAATTCAATCAGTAAGTGTTATAAAAACTCCTTTTTTCTTTTCTTTTAGCTTTTATGGCCACAAACACAGCCCGACGTGTGCATTTATTGATGTCCTGGTTGTTTAATTTAAAGGAGTGCACATTTTAAAGGATTCATTATGCGCTGTTTATATCGAAGCAGCCGCATGGATGGAATACGAATGTAAGTGCATGCGTGATGGAGATGTTGCTGGGAAACTGAAACGGGATCATTAGGACCATTTGACAGAGCTAGGTGATGTGAACACACACTCAAACGGACACAGCGTAATTAATAAATGATTATGCCCGTGCCATGGATTAATAACAGAGCGAAAACTCTGCGAGGCAGTGAATCAGTTATGCTGATAAAAGCCCTCCATTTTCTATCAGATGACCCCCATCTTGAATAACAACCAGAGGCTGAGAGGAGGCGAGGGCAGGATGTTTGGGTGTCTAGACACGCAGCTGTGTGAGTCATGCAGCAGTGAGGACAAACCTGGGCTACTAAATTGGAACCACCTTGTCAGATTTAATCTGCTTTCATTTCAAGACCCCCGCTGTTGTACCCGCTGTACTTGTAAACCCGGCACAACAGGCTCCATGTCTACTGCTTTCTTTATCGCCTACTTCAAATGTCTACAAGCTCAAGGTCAAAAATAATCCTGGAGACCATAATGGAGATAATCTACTGCATGTGCTGAAAAGTAAAAACAATTGTGCAATAGAGCCTTCAATGTCTGACACTTTTGCCCACTCAGTGGAGCTGACGCGCTGTTTCGACAAGCTGCACCTCTTTGATCGGCGGCGTTGGGTCAGAAAGAGGTTGTTTCACTTTGGTTTCCCTCGAGCTCTCCATCTTTTGTTACATAAGTACACACGGGTGCTGCTCATAAAGCACTGCCACCTCCATATTTTCAGCTCTTGTGCCACAACTGCTCAACAATAAATCTTCATGTTGTAACTGAGTTACAGATAAGAGTTTTCCCCGGAAGTTTGCTTCTCGTACTGCAGCTGCACACGCTTCTGTGAGACTAGGCATCGGTGGAGCCGAAGACCTTCACTGTGACTTCCAGAGACTCTTAATCCGCTTAGATATCCGGTGTATCCTCTACACAAATAAAATTTGTCCTGACTGTATCTCCTCCCTCTCTGTTCTTCCAGAATTCAGACGACCTCCTGGTAGCATCGGCTGAATGTCCTAGCGATGACGAAGATTTGGAGGAGTGCGAGCCTGGAAATGGTGAGTCAGCTCAGGGAGTTCTGCCTTTGTTGTGTTTTATCTGGAAACAAAGTCAGCCTGAAACACAAAAGCAGAGTTACCTAGACTACCTCAATGTCCCTTTCTCCTCTTCTAAATGATACCTTGTGACTGCGCAGCCCCCCTGTATGCAGCTCTGATTGGCCAGATGTGTACTCTCCGAGTTTTTTTTCTTGTTGCTTTTTAAAGCAGCAGGCAGTCAGCAGCATTGTGGTCTGTCAATTGCTCAGCCATGTGGTAACACCTGGCATTTTCCCAGCTGTTGCACCAATCCCCTGCCCCGATTTTAACAAGGCAGGACAGTTCCAACGTGGAAACACAGCTTGTTCTGCATGGTGCACAGCTGTAGCTTGGCAGACCTGGTGGCTGAGGCACTGTTAGTGTGAACAGAGGGTCAAGCAATGTTCTGACACCATGTCAGGAGGTGGAAGTTAAAGGCCATGTGTTTTACTCCTTGCCGCTGTGGTTTCTAGCACTAATAAGCTGGCCATATTTAAAAACTGCCAAGAACCATGCCTGTTCAGTGAAAAAGTGAGATTCAAATTACTCGTGCAGCTACAAGTCAAGGCTTCTAAAACTCCAAGAGTCAGAAGATATGCATGTCTACATTAAATTATGCAGTATTTCATCCTTAAAGATCTTGAGTGACAAGAGTTGTGTGTTTAATGGGTTCACAGATTAGACTCTGGTGTGGGTGAAACCTTTAATCAAAGCAGAGCCACTATGACGCCACTGTCAAATAATAGAAAACATTAAATTCCTGGAGCATAAAACAAGACTTGCTAGCGACTACTAGCTATAAGCTAAGTGTGGTTTTATGTGAAGGATGAGTTTAATGCATCACCGTGGAATCAAACCTGCCTTAATGTTCTGAGATAGGGCAAACCGTTGTGTAGCTTCAGCAGAACATGCTTTATATCAGCGGTCCCCAACCTTTGTTGCGCCACAGACCGGTTTATGCCCGACAATATTTTCACTGACCGGCCTTTAAGGTGTCGTGGATAAATACAACAAAATAAAACTAGTACCGGTACGGGAAATAAAGAAGATTTATTCATAACACACATGAAAAGACCCAGGAAAACAGAGTAAACGATAAAAACGATAACAAAATAACGCTGGAAACCGATAAAAACCCTGAAAACCATACATTTCACACCTGAGCCTCAACTCTCACGGCCCGGCACCAAACGACTCACAGACCGGTACCGGTCCGAGGCCTTGGGGTTGAGGACCGCTGCTTTATATGATGGGAAAAGGGAAAAAATGAAGAGAAATGCCATAGTGTACATTGCTTAATAATGTATCTGATGACCCGTCATAAAAATGAGAAAAAACAAATATTTTAGAAATCTGTCAAAAACACGTTTAAAACTAAAAAATTACTGTGTTATTTATTAGTCAAATAACAAACTATATTCATGTTTTTATGTCTGAATTTGAGCCGGCACACTGGGCTTTCCCAGAAATGAATCAAGGACAATATTCAACCACTAAAACTGTTCAAGAAAAACAAAGATGTGCTTTTTTGTTTGTTTCTATTTTTTCCAAAACACTAAGTTCAAATGTTAAAATATAATAATTATATTTTAGTATTAAAATATCATTTTGATTAAAGAGCCTTGTGCATACTGCTGGATAACTTTAATTTTATTTATACAGTTCCAAATCACAACAACTTTTTTAAGGTAAAGACCCTGCAATAATACAGAGAACAGAACCTATGATCAAGTGCTTTGGTGATAGTGGGAAGGAAAAACACCTTTTTAACAGGACGAAACCTCCAGCAGAACCAGGCTGGGGTGATATTAGGTCTTTAAGAAAATTATTATTTTCTTGTTATACTAATAGACCTTGTGTCATTACAGACACATAAGAAATGGTTTTGGTAATTACCAGTACTGTTAGGACAGCTGTAGCATAAACCTGGTACTGACTGGTGGTCTAATAAATTTGTTAAGCAGTGTATGTGCTCCCCGAAAAGCACTTGAGTTACCTTGAATAACTGTAAAAGTTTGTTGTAGGATTGTGGATTAGTGGTTTGACTGGTGGATTGTAAATGGCAGCAGATTACAACATTTATCAGTATGTTTGTGTTGGGAGAACCTGATCTGAACCAGTGCTGAGAAACTTGAGTGCAGCATTTTCCTGCAGTTTTCTCTGTAGGTGGTTGGGACTGAAATAGAGACTCGATACCCCTCTTATCAAAAGAAGAAATGAGAGTTTTTTTTGGTTGGATGCTATGTCCAGGCTTAATCTCCCATGAGGAAATGCAACTCACTATCTCTCCCTTTCTCTCGCACGCCCCCACAAACACACATACGGTGTCTGACATGCTCACCTTTCCACACAGGCACTTGTCTCTCTCACTCTGTGGGTGTAAAGTTTTCTCTCTGCCTCCGACTCTCCCGAGCAACAATGAACGCGCTTGTGCGTACACGCGCGCGCGTGCTCTGTATCACACCTTCCAGATGCCACGAGAGTTCCAGCGAAGCGAGCCGGCGGGGTCGGATAAGCCTCTGTGAAAACTGTGGACGAGGAGAGCAGAATCAACATTGTCTCCAAAGCATGTTCCCCCTCCATCACTGCTGCACAAACACAGGCCTTTAGTCATTGTGTGATAGGACCAATTCCCAGTGTTTTCAATTACATGTGAGTGTTCGGCTCGCTGTTATTGAACTGCCTTCAGGAAAGAAGGAGAGAAACATTTTAAAGGCAGCTGTGGATTTTCTGTTAAGCAAAGCTAGATGCAATGGTTATGAATTGATGAGGATCGATACAACTCCTTCATATATACAACCAGCTGAGCTCCATCTGCTTACCTGCAGCTGGTAACACCACATCACACAATTCAAGAGATGCAGCTTGTTTTTTCCTTTTCCCTTTTTTCCAAAGCTGCATTTGGTGGAGGAGTGTTTTGGCTGTGTCACGCTAAATGAGAGTCCTCAACGTGAAACGCTCAGACAGTGATTGAGGGGTAGCTGCTGTTGCACATTTGCTGACAAGCACAGAGTGGATGCAAAATAGACAAAAGCACAGGGTGCAGAGAAGAAGACCTGAGGAGGAGACGAGCGGGAAGGACTGGCTTTCATTGAGATGTGCATCACGTTCCTTTGCGCTCAAAGCAGAACAGAGGAATGGGGAGAGGAGAGAAGCGGAGGTACAGAGGGAGCCTGCGAGAGAGAAGGAAGAGGAAGTGAAGGAGAGAGTGAAATTCCCATGAACGATTCCTGGCGTTCCCACCAGGCTAATTAAACTTTGACTGTTAGAGAGCCTTAATTACATCACCCAATTAGAGCTATGGTTTCGATACTTCAGTGTTTGTAATGAGTCTCTGTCAGAAGGGTGACAAGCTAGGAAATGTGGACCTCGATTACAAAGCTCAATATACCGAGCAGAAAATGAACAGACAGGAAAGAGTCTCCAAAGATGCATATGGACACTCATTTGCTACACATATAATAACTATATTTCACACTAACAAACATATTGAGATTCTATCCGTCCAACATTAAAGCTGTGTCTTTTTGTCTCCATATATCATGTTCTGTCTGTTCTCTACCCCGACATGACCTCACTTTGCTTTTCTCCAAGCTACTTATCAGTCCCAGGATGTTGTAGGCTCTATATCGGTTTTACTCTGACAAGATCAGAGCTTTGAGGAGCTCCTCAATAATTCATCAGACAGCATGCTATAGAGAAAACCTACGAATTGCTCTTCTTAGGCCGAGGAGTGAAAATAAGAGATTGGGTGATAGATGAGGGATGACCTGGAGCCTCTCGGCCCCCCTCCGCATTCAGTGTGACTCAGAGCCAAGTCGATGGGTTTGGGTGTTAGTTATTTGTCAGGGTGATGCTTTATTGATCGCTCTTAGCTAGTAACAGACCCAAGTTTATCAATATAGGTTCCACGGGTTGGATCCTGAGCAGTATGGATGCTTGAACCTGCATGACAGGATGCTTTCTAAGCGGTACATCATCCTTTCAGGGTTCAGGCAAGTGTTACTGTCCAAGCCTCTACCCCTACTGTGTCTGATTGGTCAGATTTGGAACGAGCCTTCTGATTTGATGGTTTTCTGTGGAAAAAAATAATGCAATTGAGTAAAGGTCGCATCAGCTCCATGATGAATGCTTGAGTTTGCATGAGTTATAATGAAACGTCTCCCAGCTACCATAGGGCGAGACGGGGGGTACAGCCTGGACATGTTGCCAGTCTGTTGCAGGGCTTTAGGTGATTGTCTTTAATTAGCAGAGTTATTTTACAGTACCAAAAATATGGATCACAGTCTTAGTCGGGATACCCAGTCACTGCAGAGGTGCTCAGTCAGCCTAATCACACAAGCGAAGAATGCATTACTCAACATTATTCACATGCCTGTAACCATTTTATTTCATTACTGGTCAATGGTGCATTTTTGTCATTTACAAAAAAAATTATACATATTCTGCAAACTACACAAAAGTGGTTTTTGAAATTCTAGTTAGAACCAAATGTTTTAGGGAGGATGGCCTTTTTCCTTGTGTTGCATTCTGAGTAGGAAATCTGGCCGCTTTAGCTTCAGATTGTAAACAAATGCCCCGGAGCACCATGGAGAAACATGATGGTTTGCAGATTGTCTGAACCTCTGACATGGAGATTGGAGACTGGAGAGTTTATTGCTGCACAATATGTGACTCTGAGTGAGATACAATATGAGCAGGGCATCATATCTTTTTTGTCAAAACAAGTCAGTTCACCTGAGAACAGCAGCAGCAGTTTACAGAGCCCCGCATATAAAGAAGCAGGTTTGTTCCCTGCACCGATTATAGGGCCACCTATTGTAGCGGGATTCAGAAGCAAGAAAGGGATAATATATTATGCTCGGACACGCAGTTAGATTTTCCATCTGCAGCCTAATCGAAGCTGAATTACAGAATGCTGAAACTCCAAACAACCTTTTTGCTCTAAATATTTCAATAGATGTGAGCGGGGTGATGTGATCAGCAGAATAACGATATTTGTCAGGAGACCGACGTGGATGCATCAGTATCCATCTGCCCTGTGCTTATTTTGAGTAAATAGGAGGGGTGGGGGTGACTCACACTGGCAACGCAGTGGAGAGGCATGTGGGTAAAGATAAAGAAATTTCATCATGTGGACTAAACGTCTGCCTCAGCTGTTCAAATCAACAGAGTCAAACTCAATCAATCAGGCTGAATATCTGAGTCTCTCCCGCTTTAACGCTGAAATGACAGAGTGGGAATGTTAAAGAAACAGACCCCCACACGTGGGAATCATGCCTAATTTTTTTTTTTTTTTTGGCATCAGAACTGGTCTCAGTAAATCCCAGTTTGGGTCTGATGGCTTTGATGTAAAATAATACGCATTCACCTAAATATTTTATGCTCACTTTCCTGGGTTTCCTCTGGTTTACATCAGTCTGTGGTTCTTGGCAGCTTTCAGCAGGAGAACACATGCAGGGAGATTTGTGACATGTATCCCCCACCCACCCCACCTTCCAACCTGGCTGTTCACAGCACCAGAGCTGCATACAGGGACCACACAGTGCAGTGCCGGAAAGCCAATTGAAGTTGCTGATTGGTTTTAAATATTGGTGCAGTAGGCTTAGGTCGCACAACAGGAAATGAAAAGATGTTTCACTTGATAACTGCCTGGAGGTCTGACATGTGGCTCACTCTGTGTATGAGGGCTGAGGTTCATTATTCTGCTAGAAGCTGCTGCCTGCCAGTCATATGGGATAATGCCATGAGGCCTTCAGGCTTTGGCTCCTAAAAACTAAGAGGACAGCAGAGCGATGTGGGTCACTTGCTTGAACAATCCTTTCTATGTACACTTGTGCATGATGACTCTGAGCCTCCCGTAAATATTTAATAACCATTGTAAGCGTCACTCCGAGGGGCTCCTATAAGCAAACTTTAAGCAGGGAAGCACAGTGGTCCTGATTCCTGAGGATTACATTAAATGTTTATTGTAACAGGGGCATCTATTTGCCGTGTCAGCCGCACGTACAGTAAGTAGGACGCACTGTGAGCAGAGGTAGCTTCTCAGTAATGGGCAGGCTGCACACCGAGCAGCAGGTATGAAGCTCGAAATTGCACTCGCAGCATCTGCGCCACGCAGACAGACGGCAGAGTAAAGATAGCAGCGCTAACGTCTCGTCATCACCCTCACTCGCACATGCGTCCTGTATCTCTAGGAAACGATCTTCTCTGCGTTCCCAAATCGTTGGCCCCACCCCCCTCGCTGGAGCGACTTTGACGAGTTATTTTACGAAACCCAAAGATTTTCTTTCTTTCTTTTGAACGCACTGGGGGAAATCCTACTCGAAGTGAATCTGCTTTGTTCCTCAAATGTGCCGCCGCACTCTGCTGTCCTCTCGCCTTCAAGGTGAAACTCATCCCTCAAACGCAGACAGAAAATGTATGGGAGAGAAATAACTTGAGCATTGCCATGGAAACTAGCCTTTCCAGTAGTGGTGGTGAAATAATAACTTAGAACGGTTGAAGAATTACTAAGTTTCTTTCTCCTTTACAGCTCTCACATTTTGCTTTATTTCAAGGCGTTTCTCTCACGTGTGTTGTTATATGCTGATATGTCGCAGTGGCTTTGTTAACCCAATGCATTACCTTTTTTTTAACAAAGCCTTTGCCATTCTTTAAGTGAAAATGTGGGGGTTTTGTAACTGACCAATGGGTTTGGGGGTGTTTGAGTGCTGCTGAGCTGAATAAAGGCCACAGAGGAATTCTTACAATCCCAGAACCTCCTATTAACCATCCCCTCCCTTCCCATTCATTCCTGAAACGCCTTATCCAGCCACTCTCTCCCACTGAGTCTCCCTGGTTTACCTCATCAATCGAACACAGAGCCAGAGTCATGATTTTATGCTGGTGATGTTGGCATTTCTTTGCTTATGTTTTGCTGTTACCTTCCCTTTTGTCCCCCTCCAAGATGTGTTGTAATCTAATTCACTCTGCAATACTTCTCAACTGTTTCCTTTACTGACCCTTTTGCAACACTGGACAGAAAATTGAGTGTGTAAATTTACTGCTATTAATATTCTATTTCCTGTTGACACACTCCTGATATGTCTAACCATTTCAGTCTATGATACAAGGATTCCTCTTAAATGCACCTTTTTTCCCCCAATAATCTGAACTGAAGCAAAGTCGAAGCTTATTTCGCACTGGGCTAAAATTGCATAACTGAGGCTTGAACTGAAATTCTGGCTCATTAAGACTTTTTTTTAATGTTATTTGTGTTGATGGCTGTTTGAAAAGAACATCATTCCCCCATGTTTAACGTGTGGTGTTTGGGAGGGAAGTGGGCATGAGGGAGTCATGATAAAAAACTGAGCAGTATTATTTAATACTCTGTTACTCAGTGCGCTGTAGTGTAGTGCACTGAGAGTTTGGGTTAAGAATTAGAGGCATCAGTTTTCTGCAGCCGCTCCTGAGGGTTTGCATACAGATTAAGCTAATTAGAAATGAGCCATAGAAGCCACCATGCCCAAAAGGGGAAAATGGGATTGAGACAATTCTTCATGTGAATTTGGGGGGGGGGGGGGGGGGGAGAGAACAAGTGAATAATGCAACAATACATTATTATTCTTTTTTTTTTTGTTACATTCTGATTATTTTTCACCCAATAAAGAGACAAAAGAGGAGAGGAGGTAAACAATGGTGGGGGTGGGGAGGGGAGTTGTTTATCACTATCCGAGAACAATCTTACACAGCTTTCTTTTTGTAATTTTTTTTTTCATGCAAAAATCATGCGGCCAATTTGTTGATGTAAGTGACCTGAACCTCGTGGTTTGCTATCTTATTTAACCAATCACAGCAGAAACATCTGAGCGCTAGCGTAGTCAGCGTAGGTAGGACTAGAAAGGTTAGCAGTGAAGGATAGGCTGTGTAGTACAATAGATGTTACGTTGTTCAGTGTAATTTGTAGTCTGCTTTTACCTTGTGTTAGTGATATGACATGTAGGAATATGCAGCACAGCGAAATAGGTCAGAACAGTCAGGAGCAGGTGCAGGCTAGAGTATATTCTTACATCTTGTTTTATAATGCAGCTCAAAGTTAGTCAGCATATTAACTTTTTAAATAGAACAGACTAAACTTGTAGAACTAACCTCATGTTAAGCTGTAGTGCTGTTCTAATACTGGTGTTTCTGTAACATTTGAACTGTCTTTCTTCTGTTGATCTGGAAGTCGTCTCTCCCTCAGGTGGTCTCTAACACTCTTTTCCTTCGTTGTCTCTTTCTTGTCCTAGGAGGTGAATTAGTGTTGCCCATTATTACAGTGGACTCCCTAGACCCCCCATCTATCGCCACCCACTACCCAGTAATACCCCCGCCCCCCACCACTTACCGCCCTTTCCTCACCCTGCTTGAAACCACCAAAGAATCCCTCCCCTTGCCCAACGGCCGGCCCCCTTGCCCCTTGGACCAGGAGGACTGCGAGGAGACCATCGAGGTGTCGGCGTACGGCTCGGGGGAGATGACCGAGTCAGATGACGAGGACTATTACAAAAATTCCGCCCTGGTCACCGACAGGACTGTCCTCCCCCCTCCCCCGGCCGTCGAGGGTGGCGTCCAAAACCCCCGAGACCGCCATTTCTCCCGCTTCCCCAACTCCCGCCCCCCTCTCTCCTCCACCCCCACAGCCAACCCCGATCAGCTGAACCCGCGCATCAAGTCAGCCGGCGGCGGCAGCAGCAGTAGTAGCAACAACATCCCTGCCGGGAAAATGAACACCCGGGACCAAGTGCTGCTGCCGCCGGCCCAGCCCTCTTTGGATCCAGGCCACCGTAGAGTCCCAGGTATAACCTATCCCCCAAATTTCCCTCATGTTCCCACTCCAGACCCCACGTCTCCAGAGAGAGGGCTCCCGGGTGCCGTAGAAGTGCAGCAGTCGAGCAGCACCACCGGGATGGTGGTGGGCATCGTGGCAGCCGCTGCCCTCTGCATCCTCATCTTGCTGTACGCCATGTACAAGTACCGCAACCGCGATGAGGGCTCCTATCAGGTGGACCAGAGCCGTAACTACATTAGCAACTCAGCCACACAGAGCAATGGGGCCCTGGTGAAGGAGAAACAGCCCAGCACTGCCAAGACGGTCACCAAGAACAAGAAGAACAAAGACAAAGAGTACTACGTCTGAGGGAGTGCCGCCGTGACACACAGGGGCAGACAGCAGAGCACTTAGAAAAGGAAAGAGACGGCGGGGAGAAGGAGGGAGAGAAGGCAGTATGTGGGAAAACTGCAAACACATCACAGTGGCTAATTCATTTCAAACTTCAAGTATTGTCAGGTGCTCATATGTGTTACCAGTTCATCTCGAATCAGAGGGAGGCAGCGAAATGAGATGGCACAGTGACATCACAGCTCTCCTCACACATTTCCACATTGCTTTGATTGATTAGACTAAACTTCAGTTGCATTCAATGCTAACCACAGTGTGGATTTAAGGAAAGGCTATTACATCTCTACACATACCGTGCCAACAACCACGTAGCAAATGCTGATAAAGCAGTGATTCATGGGTTAGCATTTGACAAGCTGCTTAATATCCAGAGTACTGTAGGAAAGCATCGCCATCAGTATTTGTGTCAAGGCCTGTACTTGATTCTGAGGAGAACCTGCGTCACCTTAGACAGTATCAAACAGATTTTTTTTCCAACCGGCCTCAAATTAGCAGATCAATATACTGCCAGCTTAGAGAAACACTGTGTCAAATCCAGCTCCTCCTCCTCTGTAAGTGTTCGACACCTCCGATCTCTCGCCTCTCATCGGATCTCTCTCTCTCCTTCTCGTTCACCCACGAACTCTGTTTCTCTCCTTGTCTACGGTGCCCAGCAGCCGATGCGATGTAAACTCTGCCGTGTTTCAAGCATGTAGTATTCATTTACGAAAAAGAGATAAACTGTTTTTCCTTTCTGTGGAGTTTAAAAAAACAAAAAAAATATGACGCCGATGACTGATGATCGTAACAACATTAAAAGTAGCAACTACGTGAGATGCCACCGCTCCAACCTAACGGATGCTAAATTGTACGTTTAGCCGCCAAAAACTCATCGAGGCCAAAAAAACCACCCCTTTGGTCGTCCTTTGTTCCAGCAGATCTGTGTCATGTGTATCTGGGGCTCTGAGGTGCCCCCTAGTGGGCCAGCAGAGAAACTGTCACGTCCTTACAAGTTACTAATCACCGAAAAACAGAAAAAACCTCCAGCAAACAAGATGAACTCTGTTCTATATAATTATAAATATATGTATAGACGTTGCAGAAACATATGGACCTATGTGAACGAATCAAAAGGTGCGTTTGCTGAGACGTGCACAGCAAAAGATGGGATTCTTGAACAGCTTCACCGTCCAACCCCCCCGTTCCTCAGACCCCTGCCCCCCCACTTCATGAACAGTGCGGCTGATGGAATGCCTTGCTGCAAGACTCAGTCACTTTGGTTTGCTCTTTTCTTTTCTTTTTTTAAATTTCTTTTCGTTTCTGGAGGAATGAGAGACATTTTAGGGAGATTCTGAATTCATTCGTGTTGGAGTTCCACTGTGGAGAGAGATACCTTGCAGCAGCTGAAAAAGAGCAACTGTGTCGTTCGCCCCTCTCTAGCCTGACTGGACTGACGGCAGCCCGCGGGCAAAGCGAACTTAATGGGAAGAGCACACAAATAAAAGGAGAACAGCAGTTCCCTGAAAGATGTACAACAGAACTCTAGTATTCCAATTTTCTCAAGTCTATTAAGAAAAGAAAACTGTACCATGAAAAGAAAAATTCTGAAAAAAGTTTGTGAAATGTCTAAATATTTGACTTTCATCCCATTACTAAGAGAAGTGTGTTTTCCCTACTATCATTCCTGTTTGGAGAAAAAAAATAACTATGATTCTGGGAAACTGAAATTTCTATGTATTTTCTTTTGGTACCTGAGCAAATATGATTTGGGTTATGAACATGAAACCATGCATTCTCCTTTTCCAGAGGAGAAAATGTCCTCTTTTATCCTCCATCTGTCATCCTTAGCCTCTTTCTTTGTTCTTCATGCATTCCTTTTTCTCCGTAGAGATCGTATGTCCCCGTATCCTGTGAGGAAAGCAGGTTTTATCCATCCTCTGATTTTTATTTACTTTAATTTGTTTTATATCTATTTCTGTCTATATGGCGAGAGACAAGACGGTAGTCATTTCACTTGACGGGCTCCGTCGTTACTCTCTTCTGCCACGTTTGTCTGGTTTCTCTCTTTCTCCATTCTGAGCATACTCTCCCAGTATCTTCCTGTTCTTTCTAAATGTTATTGTAAAGTGTTCCAGTGAGATGACTCTAAATATGTGTACATTAACAGAGGGAATACACTTGGTTATATACTTCTTACTTACTGCGTTGTGTGGTCTGTTCATTGTCTCCTTATTTTCAAATTTGATTCAATCCCCAGGAGGTACCCAGAGGACTGCAAATTGCTTTGAAACAGTTCGATATTACGACATCCGATGGACCAAGTTGCTGGTGAAAGCAGCTCTAATTAGAACCGGACCATTTCTGACTCTGACACCCCGATTAAGATAAATGCTCTGCAAAATAAGTCTGTAACTGGACCCGTTTTAAAGGGATAGTCTCATTTCTCAGTATAAAGAAAAGTTATGACATCAAATAATTTGAAAGATGCTATAATCACATAAATTCTCCACATCACGGATTTAAATGCTGACATATTTCATAACAGCACAGTGGCCCTAAAAGCATTAATGTGTTAATACATTTTCCAAATTAAGAAAGTAAGATGATTTCACACTGCCGTGTGAGGATGGACGGTCGGGTTAGTAACCGCTAGCAGTTTTAGTTTAAATGTATCTTAATATTATCAGAAATCGATAGAAACACAGGGAGCAATTTCTCACCCAATGCCGTTTTCATTTCAGAGGAAAACTTCAGCTCCTTATCTCCACGTTGATGTGAGCGCACTTTTCTGATTTTGAGTCTCTTTGGATGTCTCTATTTTTTTCTCCTTTCCACAATTGTCAGACTTGATTCAAGTACGTCGAGACCGCGTTTGTTTTATGTCAGTTACGTTTTCATTGTAGAGCTGAGGTTTTCAAAATATGAGCCTCGGCACCCCAGGAGGGCACAAGGGGAGAGACGCGAAGCAGAGACACTGCCTGAGATCAAAGAGACGGGTGCGTATGCAGGTGGGAAAGTTTAGACCAGAAATTTCTGTCAGAAACAGCACTCTCTCTCTCAAACTCTCCCAAACGCGACACGTGTATTTTTAGGTGTTCGGTGCCACTTCCAAAGGACAATAGAAAGAAAACACAGTCAAATATGTTCAAATTCATCCATAATGACATCCATTACATCCATATAGGGAATGGTATTTGCTTTTATTGGTGCCCATTTTCCAAGTGTAAATACAAATAAGCTCAAATATACAAAGCTCAACTCACAGTGTCCCTGCTAACATTTTACTTCCTGTATTACTAACCCCAACAGGCCTGGATGAGCTGCAGCCCAGCACCTCTGGAGCTGGTACAGTAGGGGTTCATTGTTCTGCTGAAAAATCGCTTTAGCAGCAATGAGGCGCTGCTGTCATTATGAAACAAAGGAAAACATCCTGCAGTCTTTTGTTTATTCACTAAGCTTTAACGGTCCTTCAATGGCAGAGCATTTTTTTAAATATATACATTAATTTTGTGGCCTGCCAAGATGATCATACCTCTGTAGTATTGTTTGCTGTGATCCTGCAGGAAAATATAAAAAACATATTTTTTATTCTACTGCCTGAACAAATTTCAGCCATCTGTGATACATTTATTGTGCAGAGCTAAGCTGTTTAAACTCACACATGTCCCACTGAAATTACTTTCAGGTCAGTTATTGATTATTATTCTGTGAGACATGTCTTAACGAGTCTTCATCATGAGTCGTCTTCGCTCCTCTAAAAAATCCTTCCCACAAAGTGATAAAAAAAATCATCACAAGCAGAGCAGTATGCTAACGTCGTAATCTTTGAGAGCAATCATCAGACTCGAGCACAATCCTTAGCTCGTAAATCCAGCATGAAGTTACCGGGCTTTACTTCAGTTTAAAAAAGATGTAAATCAACTACGATGGTTTTCTATATTGGACAATCAGTTCTCAGTTGATACACATAACTCAAACTAAATGGAAATGTCATCATTTTCAGACAGTCAGAAACTGCGGTACCCCTGAGAGGTCAGATGCACTTTACTCTGGATCTCTGTGCTGTTGAGATCAGAATTTGAGATTCGCATACATATTTGATAAGACACATCATACTAATAGTCCACTGGAGCATTAGGATGAATGAAAAACAAGACACAGACAGGGTGAGCTGATTGGTGAGCTGCACCGGCTAATTTTACCTTCTAAAAAAAATAAGGAAAAACAACAGCAACATAATAAAAGAAGCAGTGCCTTACTTCCAACCCAAGCTACATTTTTGGGAGCAGCAGCATAGTGTCATCGCATGGTCCAGGGCGCTGTATCACAGAGAAAGATGAGTTGTTTAGCCAGCTATTGTCATGTCAAAAGATCTTTACACGCTGAGCACACTTCAAAAATGCAACACGATGTACGCGCAACATACATATACCACACCCACGTGACAAATGTGGGTTTTTTTGGAAAATTCATCCTCACTGTGAAAACAATGAAGTCCACATCAAGCCATGATGAGCTCATCCTGTTTCTACACAAGAAAAGGAAGAAATGGAGACTGTGGGTTCATTCGCTATTCTAATTCTCAAGAGTAGAGAGCAGTTCATTGTTTGATCCAGGAATTGATAGTATGTCAGGATGCCAGTGGGGCAGTTGGGACCACATGTGAGGAGACGGATCATTTCAGAGACCTAGACACTGACCCAGAGCCGTGTCTAGCTGTGTGTCAGAGGTAAAATAGTTTTATTTTACTATTTCCACATCATTGTGTATTCAGTACCGGTGCCCTACCAGTACTGAATACGCAATGTGATCTACAAGAGTACTCGTTGTCCAATGCAGTGGTCCGATAGGGCAGAGCTGTTTATTTGGATCCAAAACATGAGCTGGATTCAAAAAAATAAATGCCACAAATTCATCCAATGAAATAACCTGGTCGGTAATAAGATGCCCTGATTGTAACATATGAATTAATAGGAGCATATGTCTTAGTTGACCTCTTAACAAGGAGGCGAGCTGTCTGCAGGGTGTTTGTCTAATCTCCACATTAAAGGGATAACGTTACAAGTTAACTCTTTAGTTTCACAATAATACGAGAAGACACAAAAATATTTGGTCCAAGAAGAAACACAAAAGGTGGATTCATATATTCATCTATACGAGGCTTCCACTAGACTGGGATGTTGTTTGAGGGGCTCAGTGCTCGAGTACAGACAGGATGCTAAGCTGGGTTCTCTACAGGCCGCTGCCTCTTTGGTTATATAGGGCACTGACGCGCTCCCTGTGCCTCCACCTTTCAGCATCCATACCAACGCCACAGAGAGTTTTTCTCCTGAGGAACGGAGCAGTAATGATGGCTCTTCCCCACAGAGGGGCTCGTCTCCAGCATTTTGTGCATTAAAAGCCTTTATACGGCTTTAAAGATAAACAGAGGATGGTCTGGGTTTAGTAAAAAAGTCAGTTTTGAGTTTTGAAAATATTTTCATTTTCTGTTCAGGTGCACTCAACTATTAAAAAAGCTATAATTATTCTCTTTAAATAGAGCAATTCGATTCGTCTAGTAAAAAGAAATCCTGTAATTTTGTCATATTTTAGAAAAACTGTTAAACCACACAGTAATTAAGCTCTGCCATTGTTCTTCTCTGTATTTTTCTTTTTATGCTGTCCCTGACATCAACAGTGTTACCACATGAGACCAGCCCCTAAACATCTCTCCTCTCCAGGAGGAGGAGGAGTCCACCTATTGAAGACCTTACAACAGAAGATGCTGATTATTGCTCTGTTATTTATAAAGCTATGTCTGACATAAGACGCCGCCCTCTTTGCATTCACGAATCCTTCCATCCTTCCTTGTATTGATTTACCAGTGAAACACTGGGATTCCCTCTTCTGCTTGCAGAAAACATTTTCACTATGAGACCTTGAGAGAAGCTTGTTTATACAAGGAGAATATTTGAATAAGCATAATTTTACATTTAATTCTCTTCACTTTAATGTCCTTCACTTGCATCAAAACTCTCATTGGGCTTCATATTGAGAGTAAGCTGCTACCAGATACAAAGTCAAGCTTGGACTCCGCTCCAGATCTTCTTGATTTGTCATGCAATAAGAAGGGAGCAGGCCTCATATGGCTATGATGCTGCTTGTCAGACACAAAGCTTTTGAGTCTGTACACGGGACTACTTTGTAGTCATATATTTTATTTAGAACAATGAATCTGTGTTAACTATTTCTGACCATTAATAAACACATCCTGAAGGAGTTGGACTACCATGCTACCATTAGTGACAGTGACCCTGATCAAACGCAAAACTAGAAAAACCCATCCTGCTCTAGTGCAGCTATTCTTAATTTCATTAACACCAACCTACCTGAAATTAATCGGATCAGATTAATATCCCAGAAGTTTAATTATATTGATGCTATACTCTGGTTAAAGTGTTCCTTTAATTATTCTGAGCGGCATATATGATGGCTACTTTATGGTCGGCAGGTCTCTCCTGTATTGGTGTGCATAGTGTAATTAGGGCCAAAACCACCCAACCATTCGCTTCCGCTTATCCTTTTCAGGGCCGCAGGAGCCTATCCCAGCTGTCATAGGACAAAAGGCAGGGTACACCCTGGACAGGTCGCCAGGCTGTCGCAGGGCTAACACATAGACAAAGACAACCATTCACGCCTATGGGCAATTTGATCAATTAAGCTATCCCCACTAACTGCATGTCTTTGGACTGTGAGAGGAAGCCAGACTACCTGTGGAGGACCCACGCAAACAACATGCAAACTCCACACAGAAAGACCCCGGCCTGGAATTGAACTCAGGACCTTCTTACTGTGCGGCAACAGTGCTAACAATTAAATCCGCCCTTCATTCATTGTGTCTGGTTTCAGAAATACTAAAATGGCAAACTCAGGACTTCTACATCAGTGGAATCCCACGGGTGTCACAGTGGCTGTCTCTAACTTTTATATACAGTCTGCATTTAACAGCCAAAAGTGGCACTAATCCAAAACTGTCCATCATTCACCCTCTGCAGGAGAAAATCTGCACTCCCCCTTAATCAAGATACACACACAGCATTAATATTTCACGATCAAGTTAGTAAGAGCGATTTTGTGCTGTGCTGGCACACAGAAAAGGACTCTTCAGGTCCAAGATAAATCTTAGCTTAAAGTTGAATGAGGATTAATGCAGAAAC